TAGGCTATAGTTTTCATCCGGCGATGGTGCTGCTATCTATTGTCGAAATTCTAATTCAAATTCCATGTGACCACTTGATTTATCCTTAGCGATTTTCTGATAAATCTCTTATGATGAAAAATCATTCAGTTTTTCGTAAAATGTTTTAGTTTTATTTTGTTTTAGAAGTAATATCTCCTTGTGCATTACTTAAAAAGGCAGATGTTTCCTTTTCTTTTAGTTATACTTTATGTTGATTTTTTGCTTTAGATTTTCTAATTTGAATTGTTTTGCTTCGTACGATGAATTATAGATGGCAGCACCAGATTTTGATTAACCGTGGCAAAATTTTTGCTTTTAACACTAATAATTTCTAAGTAAAATTTTCAAACATTTCTAAATTGTATTTGATACTTTTTTCCATTCCACAAAAAATATTTCGAATGTTTTCCAAAACTCATACCTTTTAATTGTTCTTTTTATTTGGGAAATCGACATCATTTGTGGAAAAATTTTTACTGGTTTATTTCAAGTGTGTAAAGAATGACTTCCTGAAATTTAGGAAAGTTTTTTGTGGCATGTTTAATTTAAATACATACATTTCCTATTAATTTATCATCTAACTAAATAAAGCACCCCATTTTGCTAATAAACTGTTTGCTCGTTAATTAAGGAAAATCATATGAAAAAAGGAACTTATTTTTACCTTTTCCTCTGATAGATAACAACTCATAGAATTTAGTTAATGAGAATTATTTTTGCGAAGATATTGAAACATATCTAATTTATTATTTGGTAATATGTACAACATTGTTGCACGCTTGATATCCACAAATCTGAAGTAATCCCAAAACAGTGACGCCATCTTGCAGGTTTTATTTATTTCTGATAATAAATAATAATTTTTATCAGAATAAGAATTAATAATTATTGTTGTGAGTGGCAATAGTTTTGTTTTGTTTAAAAAATAATAATAAATGAGTGGAACGAGACAATGGTGCTGTTGTTTTAATTCCTTTACTTAATTTTTGTGTTTAATGTTTAATTACTTAACAAACATTAATTTATTTATTCTGAATTGTTTCAAAAGTTCCTTCGGTATTTTGTTATATTTAAAGCTCTTGAAAGAGAAAGGTTGAATGCAAATAATTCGCTTCAAATTATTCTTTTTATATTCTGTTTATTTGTACCATAGGGGATTAAATTTTTTGTAAACATTTTTCGATTAAATAGATTTTTTCATTTCTCATATGTTAAATATATATAGTATCCACCCACACCATTTGGCGTGGCCGTAACTATTAACTAAAACCACCAATATTCACTGTGACTGTGATTCCGGTAGACATGTTGGATGTAAAACGGAGCGCAAAACGATGTGTAGAGAGAATGGGCGTTTTTCACAGATAGTTCGCTAGCTGATGTTAAAGGCAGCCACCACCCTCTTTTATTCATTCTATTTTAGTATTTGTCTTGTGCCGTCACCTTTTTAACTAACTAAATGTGCTTCTATGTGAACTATGCCTTAATCTTCATTTCCAAACCGAGGTGAGGAGTGAACCCTCACCTCACATATATTATTCAGTGCATTCCAATATGTATTTTAATAGTGTATCGTGTGCATATTAAGATTCATTGTAAAAAGGATTGAGAAACAGTTATTTTATATTAAGAACTAAACACACAAACCGTGGTTATTGAGAAAGGAGAACCAATATTCGTTTAAATCTTGAATTTCCCATAACTCTTCAAAATAGCATTCTTATCTTACATAAATTATTTCGTAACTCGTAACGAAAGCAAGCGATTTAAGGGGGTCACTTCACGAAAATCGAATTAAAAATCGATTTTTCAATTTTGATCGAAAAACAAAATACCATTCTTTTTCTTTCTAATGCAATTTAAATTTTTGCTCTAGCTGAATTAGAAGTATTTTTAATATATTTTTAAAAAGTTGTTTACATTTGTCAAACCCTAAAACATATGACCCCACGCCCCTTTCAAATCAAAACAAAAGACACATGCTACTTTTCAGCCTAATCAAACGTTTAAATTAATAAAAAAGAATTTATTTTGATAGCAGCTTATTCAGGAAAGAAGTGAAGTGAATAGTTGTAGCTGTTTGTTTATTTTTTGGTAACCGCATGCTATTTTTTTACCTCATTAAATACAACAATTTCTGCTATCGTGAAATAGTGTTTTCCATCAAAAACAATAATGGGGTAAAATTTTTAAAAAAATGTTTTAAAATTTGGGTTAAATAATAAAACGTTTAAAAACGAAAGTTTGAAAAAATATACAAAAACCCAAACTTTCGATGAATTAAACGTTGCATAAAAATCAACGATTTCAACAAAAAGTAATTCAGCTTTAAAAGAAAAATTAGGTAAGTTTAAAAAAAGAGTATGTTTTTTTTTGATTCATTTCAATGTTTCTGTGAAATGACTGACATTGTACTGTTTTCTTGTGCTTTGAAACAACATTAATAACATAAATAAATGTAAAACCCAGGGTATTCACATAAATTTAGGCTACAAAATTTTTAAATATGTTGTTACTTTGGTGGTCTTATTCAAACATTTCTTAATACCAAGTTTACTAAAACAGTAGTTAATCAAAAAAGATACAAAATTATATGAAGTGAACAATAGACTTTCATATGATATGAGGTCTATTAAAAAAGAGTTGCAAAAATGTTTTTCGGAGTCATGAATTTGTTACCTACACTAAAGTGGTTTTACGATTCCATGCATACATTAAATAACGCGACAGAGAAAGTAACTAAATTGTCTATGGCATTAGCTGCTGCCGAAATAATATCATTTAATAATGGATGCCAAAATGTACCTGTGGCTATCGATGGTACCTGGCAAAAAAAAGAGCCATACTTATATAATAAATGATTTTGTTACCGCAGTTGGTTTGGACACTGGGGAATTTGTTGATACTGAAATATTGTCGCGGAAATGCTCATGTAATTTTAACAGCAATGTACATATCGATGAGTGTTCGGCAAGTTACATTGTAAATAGTAGGGGAATGGAAGTTGAAGAGGTGTACTTCTTTTATTTTTGTGTCTTCCATCGCTCACACAGACATTACACAATTTACGATATACACAATATTTGGACTCTATGGGGACTCTAAAGCATACAAAACAGTTTTAGAATCTACACCTCAGAGATATGTCAATATTAAAAAATTAGAATGTGTTGGTCATGTGTGTGTGTGGAAAATGAGGGGGACATGACTTAAAGCGTTAAAATCAAAATTAAAGACAAAAGCTTGAGGACAAAAATCTCTAGGATGCCATAATGGCTTGACAGATGCAGAAATAGACAAATTGAAAAAGATACTATGTTTTGGCTATTCAAAAAAACCCTCATGAAAATTTGTTAGACATAAGGCAAGCTATTTGAGCTATATTTTTGATAAAATATTCACAGATTTGAATCTATGACAGGGTTTTTATGCCCCATGGGAAAGTGACTTGTGGTGTAGATATAATATGTCCATACTGAAGGTTACACATATAGCATAAACACGATTTTACCTATTGAAATTAGGAATAGCAAAAAAAAAGTATTTAGAGGTCTCTAATCTTGAACTTTTGTCTAGATGCTTGCTTGATAAAACTAAAAAATATTAGTGAACGCGGAAATAGTATTTGGTGTATAATTCAAAACTGTATTTGTGCAATTGGGTACTTAAAAAATATAGTACATGAAGCTATATATTTATATAATCAAGGTTTTAGTACCAAATTAAAAGTTTTAGATGTATTAAACATTCAACCCCTAGATTTTACAAGTGTCGAGCATTGCAGAAGTAGATTATGCGTGTATTAGGAAAGCAGAATAGGCAGTTTTACAATGAACCAAAGAAGCTGAATTAAAAAAAAACAATTAAAATGTAGACAATAAGATGATCTTGCAGATGACACTAGCAATCCAAGTTACAGTTCTGGTATGCATTAGTTAATAGTAAGTTTTACTTTAAATCTCTATTTCTCAAAGGGGGTAAATTTCAACACAAAAAGAACATTTTTGAAAAACCTACTTATTTTATAGCCTTGAAACTTTGCACATGTTAACACTATACAAATAAATATTTTAATGAGAGATTTTGTCAAAAAGTTATTCAAAAATATTTATGGATTAAAATTTACAAGAATTTTCACTGTTTTAAAAAATTTTGACGTGTTACTCCACATATGAATTTTTTTAAAAAAAACTAATCAAAATTTTGAAAAATGCTCCCATTAAATTAATAAAAACAATACAATGAATGCACACAAAAAAATTCATGACTGTACAACAGGCCAATTTTTTAAAAATGTTCCTTAAAATTGGTCATTTTTAACATTACGGAGATAGGGAAAATGCTGCGTGAAGTGACCCCCTTAATAAAGTAGAAAATTAAGTTATATCATTTCAATCGGTATTATAAAATAGGAGAATAAATTATATCTCCGATTTGTAATATTATATTAGGATATTGTGTCCTCAAATGATTTTATAAATTGGACCAGTAAATCAATAAATTATATATCATCCAACGATATAAAACCGAAAAATAAATCATGAATTTTAAAAACAATATTATAAAGTAGGAAAATGAATTATGTATCTTAAAAACGATATTATAAACCAAATAAAAAAGGGAATGAATGACTTTTATAAAATGGATCATTAGTTGCTTTGTTGAATGATATTGCGAATTCATAACACTTAAATCGAGAAATAACAATAAAGATATATTATAAGAACACACATTTGTTACGTGAATGTTTTATGGTTTTTATGAGGAAAAAAAGAACAAAATGCGAAGTGCGTTTTACTTCCTTCTAGCTTCATTGTTTGCAAACCTTTTGTTTGAGCTTCATAAATATTAAGTATCTATTTGACTTCAAAGATTTTCAACCGATATATTAGCACGCAAAAAATTTTACAAGAAAACGAAAATACATAAAACTAAAGAATGAGAAGACAGAAAAATAAAATATGAATGAGGATGCCAATGGCACGCGGTGTTCCCAGGTGGTCACCCCACCCGATGAGGCTTAACTTCGATGATCGGACGAGAAAGGGTTCTTTCATCATGGTATGGCCGTTGGTGTTTGCAAAGGTGCAAGGTTGTGTAAAAAGGCAATGCTTAACAAATACATGAGAAACGGGTTATTATTTTAGTTAACAAAAAATTGTATTGGATCACTTTTTAAGTACCTACTTTCACCGATAATAAACGCAATTTTGAATATAGGTAATAATAATGATAAATGTTTGTTTTGATTCGTATTCATTTTAAGTAAAAAACTCGCTCAAAACTTATGCAATTACTTACCTCTATCCGTTGATATATTATGACAATACATACGTCTTCAGAAATTCTAGAAACAACTGTAATGTTGAATGTTTTCATTAGACAGTAACTGGGCGATTGATTGATTGAATATTAACGTCGCACTGTTCAGCTACACGAGGGCTTTGGGCGTCGGACAACGTCATTTTGAACCATGGTTAAGTGACGTGGACGACACTTAAACTGGCACCCCCTCTTCTAACTACCACACCAACAGGAGGACGTTTCAGTTCTCGACAGATTTAGCGTGCATCGCTTCCTTACACGGCGGGTCTTTAGCGGTACTGACAAAGCCAGTCACGATCCGATACCTATACCACTAGGCTACCGCGGCCTAGTAGACTGGGCGAAGATTAATAGTTGAATTATAAACAGTACGCTCAGAACGGAAAAATGATATCTTTTGGTTGGTCGTGTATGAACAAAAAATAAATAAATAAATTCGATTGCTTGCAATTCGAAATATATTGTCTCTTGCGCAAATTTAAATTCAACTTTCAAAATCGAGTTTAATATTTTATAAAGCACGGATATTTTTATGTGTTTCCTTCGTGATTAAAATGTTTTAGGTAAAACTTTTTGCATAAAACTTATTTTTTTATAGATTAAAATATGTCTTGGAAAAATATTCGCTATATATTTCATAATGTTATATATTTTATTGATGATTCTGTACAAATTTTTTCATAGATAACTGAAGGAGATAAAATAAAGAATTTATGGTACTAAAAAAAGTATACCTTCGCAATGGCGAAACGTATACCATCGCAACTTCCCCATCGCGGAGGCGAGGGAGGGACGAAGCCTGATGTTATGGTATTGCAATCCTTTATAACAATGATCCGCAACCCCCGGTCCATGGATCAAATGTGATGTCGGGCAGCCTAAATAACATTAAACTATTGCTATTTTATTTAAAGTGGTGCATTTCTCTCGGATTTGCGTAACTTTCCACAGAAATCACTTTATAATCCACGTTAAATCACTTTTATTCATTTTTAGTGTAACTATATTTTATTCTGAAGGCATATTTATATATAAATGTAACTAAATTAAAACTGTTAAATTAAAACAATCTAAAATATAAACAATCAACGTGTCCCACCCTCAGCGGGCCGCGGTAAAATTATCAAACGTTGACCGGTCCACAGTGATAAAAAGGTTGCTGAGCACTTTATAAGATCTAGCTTGGGGCCTAAAACGACTTTGCAGGGGGGACCCCAATATTCTTCGTGACGCCACTGTACCTTCGACCCATTTCGTGTGGCCGCGGTAGCCGAGTGGTCAAGGTATTGGATCGTGACCGGTGTATCATGAGTTCGAACCCAGTACCACTCAAGACCCGCCGTGTAGGGCAGCGATGCACGTTAAATCTGTCAAGAGCTGAAACGTCCTCCCGTTGGTGTGGTGTGGTAGTTAGGAGAGAGGGTTGCCAGCTCAGGTGTCGTCCACGTCACTTGACCATGGTTCAAAATTACGTGGTCCGTCGCCAAAAACCCTCGTGTAGCTGAACAGTGCGACGTTAATATTCAATCAATCAATCAATCGACCCATTTCGCGTCTCGTTGGCCTAGCGTGAAAGTTCGGAAAGAAATGTTTCAGCTCAAGTGTCGTCCTCGTCAATTGACTTTGGTTCAAAATTACGAGGTCCATCGCCACTGAAAGTCCGTCGTGTATTAGGGGTCGATCCAAGTTAAATCTATCGAAGCTCAATGTCTTTCCGTTGGTGTGGTAGTCAGGAAATATGGTGCCAACTCAGGTGTTGTCTTCGTCACTTAAACGAGGTTCGGGGTCAATAGCCTCGTGTTACTTAAAGCTGCATTCACACCAAGGCTGTCGGCGTTGAGCGTCTGTAATCAGAGGCTTCATTTCACCCAAAAGTAAGTCACTGATTCAGCTAGACTTGCTCCAACACCAACTACTGAGGTAATAATCTGCTGAGCTCTGAAAATAGTAAGAAGTCTCTCGCTCCCACACTTAGCTTGGAAACGAAATACATTGTCTTATGAAAATTTAAATTCAATTTTCAAAATTATTTTGTAAAAAATTTAATTTTTAAAAAGCAGGATTGTTTATTCATTTTGCTTCGTGATTAAAACTGTTTTCATGTACATTACATAAAACTGCTTTTTTATATTGCTATATAATGCACCGGGGGAAAATGCTCGTTTTTCAATGTTAAGTACAGTCTGACCTCCATATTACGAACCTCTCTCTATATTGCAAATTTTTCTATATAGCGAACTTTTTCCTGGAACAAAGAACATTTGACAATTTTCTTCGTAAAATAACCTCCCAATAGCGAAGTGCATTTTCTATATAACGAACTTTTTTTCTTGGTATTCAATTTTTTTTCTCCCTATTTTTGAAGTATTTCTGGACATTTCAAGTTATTCTTTGTATTAACACATTTTATGGTGGTCATAAAGTGAGTTTGGGTGCATTGCAAAGATGTGAGGCGTATATATTATAAAACAAAAAGCATTTTTTCAATAAAAAAATCTCAAACAAAATTAACACATTTTATGAGTAATTAAATTTAAGGATGTATGTGGTAATTCATGTTTAAAATCTCTAGTTATAAAATAATGTACGTTTAAAATTACTTGTATGCTTTAAATTAGTATATATATAAATGTCCTTAAAATTCATTAATTTTAATTTAAAATTATTTTCCTAATGTTGAAAATGCGGTATATTTCCTCGACATTAATTTTCTTGTTTTCCTTGCACAGTTTCTTTTTTTTTTATGTGTAAGATATATAAAATGCGTAAATATTAATTTTAAAAAAAGGTATAAATAATTACTTTTTTTAATAAATGTTATGCTTATGAATTTAAAATTTGTTTAATGTGGTTTATGAAGTATAATAAAAGATGAACCTCTATGTAGCGAATTTTCCATATAACGAACTTTTTTTCGGGTTTAGCGACTTCGTTATATAGGGGTCCGACTGTATTTTCATAATGTTGTCGCAACAGTTAATAAGCAACGTTTCAAAATCATCTTACGTAATATGAAGTTCTTTGAAATATATTAAATAAGAAAGGGAAAGATGTCTATTCATTTCAATGCTATAATAGTCTTCGTTGCTCCATATCCCACAGAACCGGTAACCTTTTATGTTTCAGTACAGATTTCCTCGTAGACAACTGAGTGAGGTAAAATTAAGTATTTATGGCACATGTGTAGTAAGTATACTTTCACCCAATATCGCCAAATGTAATAGTTACTATTATTGGTTTTGAATATGCAAGGTTATTGTTTTGCTCTTTTGGCTGATTATCGCATCACTTGGCTACATTTTTTGATTTGGCAAAATTGGTCAACGGCAAAATACGTTAGTACTGAATTTATAATATACTAGCGGTCCCGACAGACGTTGTCCTGTATACATGTCGAAAATTACAAACTTTTTTGAATAAGTTGTAATAATCTGGACCGTTTTGATGAAATTTTTTATAAAGAAAGTTATTACAATACCTGACATCATCGCATGTACATTTACCACAAATCGACCTATCGATTGCGTGTAAGGATGCATTTGCTATGAAATATAAGTTGAATATATAGAACCTATTCTGAATATATATAGAAACTTAAACTTATTTTGATTAAAGGGTAAAAAAAGATAAAACTCGAGCTATTTTCATAACAGGTGTATTTTTTTAATGCGCAAAAAATAAATTTATCGTAATGCCATTGAATGTACAATGTTTTTGGTAAATCCTTTTGAGGGGTATAAACAAACAAATGCGATGGTTTGCGAAACCTCGGACATGCAACATATAATTGGCCGTGCGAAAAGCAAGGGTTTCCTAAATATAAGCCCCAAATTTTCATTGTCTGATCTTGTGACTTATTAATGATCACAGGGAATACCAAGCGAATTTTGGAAATTGCAATCATTTGAATGGGTAGGCGAGTCTGAAAGAATTATTGGGATCTGTGGTAGAAGTACAACTTCACCTTGAAGTTTGCCGCTCAAAATAGTGGACTCAAGAGAATATTGCCTCGTAATTTATTTATGAACAATCGCGTGCCTTTACATAATTTTGGTATATATTTAACTAATAGCGATATTGGACCTAATTATGAATCTAAATCATTCTCGAATCCACTTGAACCTACACAAAAAATGTCATCAAAATCGGTTCAGCCGCTTAGGAGGAGTTCAGTCCCACACACAATCACAGAAGAATTACATATACAAAGATTATTTGAAAAGATATTAAATAAAAACGCTAAAAAGCATGGTTCCTCTGCATTTTTGTAACAATAAAGACCCGGTTTGGCCTGTTAGGCTGAAAATCGATTTTTGATGCCAACTCACGTCATTTTTATAACAATAAGGTTGTTACAACAATGCAGGTGAATGTTGAGTTGAATGTTTTTAATTAATATATTTTTAACTAATTGCAATATCGGACCGCGCGAATTGGGAATCTCAAATTCACGAACCCACACAAAAAACTTTATCAAAATCGGTCCAGCCGTTTAGGAGGAGTTAAGTCACATACACACGCACAGAAGATTTTTACACATATAAAGATTTTCTTGAGAATTAGAGTCATTTAATTAAAATGTTTTAAAGATAAATTCTCGATATCCTGGTAAACTTTTTCATAACAATAAATGTATTATAATAAAATAAATGCACATATTTCGAAATTAAGTCTGTGAAAATCCCTTTATTCTAAAATCATCGTTAATGTCTCCATTTTTATCAAGAATAACCACACAAGTGTAGT